GCATCGTCTCCATCAATTTTTGATTGAGCAAAACCAACTCCTTTGCCACTGCTGCCTGCTGTGCCCTGAGACCATCGAGCTTCTCATTCGCCTGCTCGATGACCATATGTTGCTTCTGAACATCTTGAGCCAACCTGCGCTGAGTAGCCTCGGCCTTGGTGATCTTCTGGCCCACGGCAGTATGTTAGGACAGAACTGGCTTGCACTCGGCAAGGGACTGACGTGCATCCTTGAGCTGCTTGTCCAGCTCTGCCTTAGCTTGGAAGCCGTTGGGGCCACACTTCTCGACCATGCGGATGGTGATCTCAAGGTCTTTGATATGATCGCGAAGTTGCTGCTGCTTGTCCGTCTCATGTGCTGGGGAACCCGCGCCAGCTGGAGTAGACTGCACACCTTTGCCACTGTTGCCGTTTGTCCCACCCCCGCCGATGAACTCGTCAAAGCGCTTGGCCAGGGCGTCGAGCTTCTCCTGCAGTGGGTCACGCCGTCCTACTGGACCTGGAGCACGCCTGACAGTGCGCCCGCCAGAAGCATGACGAGCTTGAGGACCGCTCTGGCTCTGCGTGTTCTTGGCGTTGTTGCGCGCTGCCGCGATGACCTTCTGAGGTGCTGGCTTGCCGCATCTGCGCGCAAGCCGCGATGCCCAATTGGCGTTGAGGCCGCAGCCCCCGCGCGCCCAAAATGGGGTGCGAGGCCCAGGGAGCATTGGCCCTTCTCCATCGGTCATGCCCCTTGGGTGGTGATGACAAGACTGCTCCGCCAGGAGCTGGCAGGAAAAGTGGCCAGAAAACCGCACCCCTGCGGTGCGCAAAATCAGGGAGCTCGGGCCGCCCCCCTCGGCTGCGATCAAGCTCCCAGCGCAGGGGGCAGCGTTGGGAACTTGAGCCAAAATGGCTTGAGCCAGAATGGCTGCGGGCCCCGGCCGCGGCGGCGAGGCTGCGCGAGAAGGCCCGCTGCACCAGCGCGCGAGTGCGCTCGACCACGGCGCGCAGCTCATGGAGCTCGACCGTGGCGCGCGTGCTGGAGTGGGCCGCCGCCGTCCAAGCCTCCGCGTCCGCCGTGTCCATGCGCTTCCCGAAGATGACGTCATGGGGCTGGCACTCGCCCTGCTCTATCATCCCCCCGATGGTGGCGACGATGGTGGGCTGCTGGTGGTCGGAGTTGCGCCTGCGCAGCGTCGGCGGCCTCGTGGGGGCATCCAGCGTCTCTACCACCTTCCAACTGCAGGCGCCCTCATGTGCGCCCTGCCTGGGGACGGCTTCATCCTGGCCCACGTGGGGCCGGGAACTTCAGCACGCCCTGAACATATCTGCGCGCAGTATCATCCGCGCCCTCGACCTGGGGCGCAGTCTCCTCGAGCGTGCTCACCTGACGGCCGTTGAGGTCGGTGGCCACGTCGACGCCAGAGCCCGCAGGGACAGCCCGTGCCCCACCAACGCGCGGCGGCGCACGCGACTTGCTCGCGACAGCGCCAGCCGCCAGGTCCCAGGCTTCAATGGGGATGTGGAAGGCCACCTTCACCTCCGTCGGGCCCTGCGAGCTGGCAACCTCCACGTCCTCGGCCAGGTCGTCGAAGGCGGCCCGCAGGTTCGGGTCGAAGTCCCCCCTGCGCCGTCGCCTCTGCTCCAGCATCCTGCGCGCCCTCTTGCTGCCCTCCTGCGGCAATCTGCGAGGGCGCTCGCGGGGCGGCAGCGCCCGCGGCACCGCCGGAACCTGGTGCCGCCGCTGCTCGTGGCCACTGGCGATGTCCAGCTCCAGGCCGAGCGTCTTCCAGGGCACCTGTAGACAGGCGCGGAGCTGCAGGAAAGCCTCGAAGCCGCGCTTGGCCACCGCGTAGCCGATGAGCGACGAGCCCGAGGCCGTGGAGCAAGTGACGTCCACGTCGGGCTTGACGATGATGCCCTCCGCCAGCTGCGTGAACTGGGAGGCCTGTAGCTGCTGCGTGCCGAGGTTCCAATCGCAGAATAATGGCCCACGGGTCGGCAAGGGTCTTGGCGAAGCGTCCGACAGACCGTAGGCGCTCGACGCTGGCGCACTCCCGCTTCTCTCCAGGGAGGAGGTGCACCGTCACGACGACGAGGTTGCCCCTCTGTAGGTGTATGGTGACAGCCTGGAAGCCCTTGCACTGCGATGCGCCAAGCATGCGCTCCCAGGAGGTGGCTGCCAGGTGCTTCAGGACGAAGATGGCCTCGCCACCTCTGCAACCCAAGTATTGTGGCTCGAGTCCGCCTTTGCATCCGAGTCCTGACCGAACTGATCTGGATCAAGCTGGAACTGCGTCAGCGCATAGTAGCTGCCCCAGAGCTCATTGACAAGGGAGCATGCCAGGAGGATGCGCCGCGGAACGTCCCAAGGGATGCGCCAAGCGACGCGCCAAAGGACGTGCCACGGGGACGCGCCGCGGGACGTGCCAAAGGGACGCGCTACGGAACGTGCCAATGGACGTGCCAAGGGACGCGCCGCGCGACTTGCCGCGGGAACTCGCTACGGGGCGCGCCACGGAACGTGCCAAGGAACGTGTCACGGTGCAATGTTGAGTGTATCGATCTTGATGCACCGTGCCGAGGACTGTGCTGTGCTGCACTGTGCTGAATTGCGATGTTCCATGCCGCGATTGTGCTCTAAGTGTTGTGGATCGAGTCCTCCTTTGCATCCGAGTCCTGACCGAACTGATCTGGATCTTAAGCTGGAGCTGCCTCAACACATAGTAGCTGCCCCAGAGCTAATTGGCAAGGGAGCGTGTCATGAGGATGCGCCGCGGAACGTCCCAAAGGACGCGCCAAGCGACGTGCCAAAAGACGTGCCATGGGGACGCGCTACCGAACGTGCCACTGGACGTGCCAGGGGACCCATGTGTTTTCAGGCTTGTCCTCCCGTTACAGAACAATGCCTCCTGGAGCCTCGTGAAACATCCTGGAGCCTCCTGGGGCCTCCTGGGGCGTTCGGAACCCATGTTTTCGCATTTATCCCGCCCTGGGGCGTTAGGAACCTACGTGTTTTCACGCTTGTCCCGCCCTGCGGCGTCAAGAACCTATGTGTTTTCAAGCTTGCCCCGCCCTGGGGCGTTAGGAACCCATGTGATTTCACGTATCTCCCGCCCTTGGGCGTTGGGAACCATGTGTTTTCGCGCTTCTCCCGCCCTGGGGCGTTCGGAATCCATATGTTTCTACACTTGTCCCGCCCTGGGGCGTCTTGAACCCATGTGTTTTCACCCTTCTCGAGCCTCCTGGGGCCTCCTGGGGGGCGGGGGGAAGCGAAAAGCGCTCCCCGAATACATATCCCAATGCAGAACAGAAGTGAAACAAACGTTTCACCTGAGACATCCTTTGAATTCAGGTCCCCAGGAGAAACACAATGTAGTTTCGCTCGAGACATCCTCAACATATTCTGAAAAAAAGCAAGCGTTTCGCTCGGGACAGCTTCACAACAACATCATAGAGAGCACAACGCAAGCGTTTCGCTCGAGACATCCTCAACACATTCTGAACAACAAGCGTTTCGCTCGGGATATCCTCAAACATACTTCCGCCAGCCCTCTTCCCGACTCGTTATTTACCGCGAATAATTCCGCCGGCCATCTCCCCGTCGGGTCCAGGGGAAAACCCGTAAAAGAGAACCCTGGGCACGCGCCCTTTCCAGAAAAAAACAGCTCGCCACAGGTGATGTATATGTTCCAATTTCCGAAGTCAGCGCGCTAGCCAAAGCAAAATCGCCAAAGCAAACGTCGCAGTTGAGTCGAAGGGAAGCCCCTTCCCTTTGATCCCTTCCCAGCCGGGGGGGGGGGGAATCTGGAGGGGGCATGGGGTTCGGGGAGGCGGTCCCGAGTCAGAATGTTATCTCCCCTGGAGGTCCTGGGGCCCAAGAGGCCCCCGAGAGAGGCCCCCATCAGACCCCCGGGCGCCCCCAAAAAACTGCCAGGAAGCCCGAAGAGGCTCCGTAAAGGCTCCCAAGACACTCCCAACATCTTCCCTCCGAAAGCGCTCCAAAGAGACTTCAAGAAGCATCCGGCCACAGCGAATGTCACAGGTGAGTCGACGGGAGGCCCCTTCGCTTTGATCCCTTCCCCGCTGTGGGGGGTGGTCCTAGGGGGGTCGGGGAGAATCGTCAGGCGGGGGAACCCGGGTCAGAATACTTTGGGGTCCTGGGGCCCAAGGAGGCACCCCAGAGGCCCCCAGGCGCCCCCAAGGAACCGCCAGGAAGCTCCCCAAAGGCACGGGAAGAAACGGAAGGGAAGAACGATTCTTAGCGGAATTTGATGAGACGGCTATCGCGACGACGACCCCGCGACCTGCCCCGCCCGCGCGCTTTGACCACAATTTTGAAGCGGATCCTGCCACGAGCACGTCCCCTGGGTCACCTAACTTCGGGCATCGCGCCCCGCGATGCACGACTTGCGGCTATCTTCGCGCCCTCGCGCCGCCCCGCGGAGAAGCGCAGCTGCTCTGGCCTTGACCGCGACGCGCGAAGTGTGCCTACCTACGCGCCCCTGGGGGGGACCTGGTTTCGGGACGGACGAACGGAGGGGGTAGTAAAGGGGTGTCTCGCGCAGTTCTCCTGGCGCCTCCTGGTGCCAGAGGCGCTCATGTATTGAGGAAAGCGCACGGCGGTGGGGCCGAATCAAGCTGCCTGCAAAAGATTTCGTGCCCCCCCTTTCTCAATCCCCCCCACTGATCCTCGTCGCCTGGCTTTTGCTTTTGCGTCGCGACTCAGCTCTCTGGCAGCCGTTCGGGACGATTCGGGCACCGCCGGAACGCGCTCGGCGAGGCGCAGATACCAGAGAGCATCCCGAGGCCGGAAACCGTCGAGCACATACGAAGACGTCAGAAAAGATCGAACACCCCGATCACCCCCTTCGCCCGACCTGACTGATCCCCGTCCTCCTCCTCCTCCTCCTCCTCCTCCTCCTCCTGCTCCGCCTCCTCATCCGACGGCGGCGGCGACGACTGCCGCGGCGGTGGCGGCGACAGCCGTGGGCCAAGCCGGAAGCAGCGGCGTGCGGCCTCGTCGGCGGCCTCCTGCTCCAACTCGGGCCCGTCCATGTCCTCCCGCCGCACAGAAGTGGGGGAGGAGAGGAGGCCTCCTCCTCTTCCTCCTCCTCCCCAGGCCTTCGCCTCCTCGTCAGTTTTCTCTTCCACCTCCTCTGGCTCCCCAGACCTCCCTCCTCCTCTATCCTCCTCCCTCCTCCTCCCTCCTCATGCTCATGCTCCTCCTCTTCCTCCTCCTCCTTTTCCTCCTCCGCTCTCCTACTTTCTTCTGTTCCAGCCATCCTCCCCTTTCCTCCTCCTCCACACCCAGCCCTCGTCCTCTTCGTCTTCGTCCTCGTCCTCGTCCTCCTCCTCGCCCTTCTCCTCAAATCTCGCCCTTCTCCTCTGACCTCCAATGCTGGAACGCGGGGAAGCGCTTCTGTTCACAAAGCTGGTTCTGCTGGGGCCTCGGGCTGCGGGACCACCAACAACGACCTGGGGCGGAAGACCGGCCACAAGGCTCACGCCGTGAAGAGAACAACGCGTGAGAGATCTGGGCCCTCCCTCCTCGAGCTTCTGGCTCTTCTGGGCGGCCTCGGGCTCTCCGAGGCGAGGCTGCCCCTGGCTCTCCGGTGCGAGGCCACGGCCGTGTGCCCGGGCTTTCATGCTCGCCAGGATGGGGGGCGAGAGCCACCGCTCTTTACCAAGACCGGCGCACAGAACCACTACGGAGGAGGGGACGACACGGAACGTTCCTCCTCCTTCTCCTCCTCCTCCTCCTCCTCCTCCTCCCCATGCTCTTCCTCACTCTCCTCCTCACTCCTCCTTGCTCCTTCCTCGCTACTCCTCCTCCAACTCGCTCCTCCTCCTCCTCCTCCTCCTCGCTCCTCGCTCCTCGCTCCTCCTCGCTCCTCGCTCCTCGCTCCTCGCTCCTCGCTCCTCCTCCTCCTCCTCCTCCATTCCTTTTCCTTGTAAATATTTGTTGTTGCCTGTAATAGCCTGGAGCTGATGTTTAGGGCGGGCCGGGCGTTTCGCCTGGAACTTCTTCATCACTTATGACGCTGAAGCTTGAAAGTTTGCAGCAGTCTCACAGATGGACGGCCGGTCGTTTTCAAAATGTGGCCCTCGCCTTCGCGCGGCGCATATCCGCTTGTTACATTTGCAAGAGCTTCACGGATTGAGGGCGGTTCCTTTTCAACATGTGGCTCTCGCCTTCTCGCGGCGCCCATTCGTTTTTTTTTTTTTTCTCTCCAAGAGTTTCACGGATTGAGGGCGGGTCGTTTTTAAACTGTGGCTCTTGCCTTAGCGCGGCGCACATTCGTTTTTGAAAATCTGCAACAATTTAACGGATTGAGGGCGGGTGGTTTTCAAAATGTGGTTCTCGTCTTAGCGCGGCGCACATTCGTTTGAACTTAACGGATTGAGGGCGGGTGGTTTTCAACATGTGGCTCTCGCCTTAGCGCGGCGCACATTCGTTTTAAACATGTGCAAGAATTTAACGGATTGAGTGCGGGTCGTTTTCGCACTGTGGCTCTCGCCTTCGCGCGGCGCACATTCGTTTTTCCCGGAAAGGGCGGGGGTTCAGGGTTCTCTTTTAGTGTGTGTTACCCCTGGTTCTGACAGCTGTAGGGCTGGCGAAATTATTTTGCGGTGCATAACAAGGTCACGTCGGGCTGGCGACATTCTGTTTGAGGATATCTCGAGCGAGACGAGTGTTCTTCAGAATTTGTTGAGGATGTCTCGAGGGAAACGCTTGTTTTGTGCTATAGATTGTCCTCTCCTGGGGACCTGAAGTCAGAGGATCTCTCCAGTGAAATGCTTGCGTTCCCGTGCCCAGGTCTTGAGGATATCTCGAACGAGACGCTTGGTTTCACGCCTCCAGGTTGCCCAGACGGATGTCTAGCATGAGGATTTGGTAAGGATGTCTCGAACCAGAGGCGTGTTTTCACGTGTCCAGGTCGCCCATGCGGATGTCTAGCGTGAGGGTGTTTCGAGGAAGTCTCGATCGAGACGCTTGTTTGCACGTGTCCAGGTTGCCCAAGCGGATGTCTAACATGAGGATGTGCTGACAACGTCTTGAGCGAAACGCGTGTTTTGATATGTCCAGGTCGCCCAGGCACAGCACAGCCCTCGGCACGGCCCATCAATATCGATACCCTTAGCATTGCAGCCTGGCATGTTGCCTGCCACGTTCCGCGGGGCGTCCCGTGGCGAGTCCCCCTGGAACGTCGCGCGGTGCACGTCCATTGGCACGTTCCATAGCGCGTCCCCTTGGCACGTCACGCGGTGCGTGCCCATGGCACGTCCCTTGGCACGTCGCCTGGCGCGTCCCTTGGGACGTTCCGCGCCGCCTCCTCCTGGCATGCTCCCCTCCTCCTGGCATGCTCCCCTGTCGATTAGTTCTGGGGCAGCTACCATCTGCTCAGGCAGCTCGAGCTTAAGATCCAGATCAGTTCGGTCAGGACTCGGATGCCAGGGAAGACTCGATCCGCAACACTATGTAGAGCACAATCGCGGCATGGCACATCGCAATTCAGCACGGCGTAGCACAACACAGCCCTCGGCACAGTACATCAAGATCGATACATTCAACATTGCATTTGCCCGTCGCCCAATCAAGTGTCTTTGAAACGTTGCCATGCCTTACATTCCTATATTCCTTTCCGGGTTCGTGGGCCGATCATGTTTTTCATACAAACATTCAAGAGCTTCACGGATTTAGGGCGGGTCGTTTTCAAATGTGGCTCTCGCCTTAGCACGGCGCATATTCGTTTTAAACTCTGCAACAATTTGACGGATTGAGGGCGGGTGGTTTTCAGCATGTGACTCTCGCCTGAGCGTCGCACACATTCGTTTGAAATATTTGCAAGAGTTTCACGGGTTCCCATCACCAACGTACCAGGAACGGTGCTTTGGAAGGATTCTGGATTATGCGGGTGCAGCAATTTCGTTGATTCTCTATGTTGAAGTCCCAGGAATGGCGTTCTGAAAAGATTCAGGATCGACAAGACGCAATGGTTAGGCTGATCCGTGGCGTTGGCATCCCGAGAACAATGTTTTGGCGTGCTTCAGGGTCTTCAAGGGTGTCTTCCAACGACCCAGTTCCATCAATGGAAATGAACCGTCGTGGGGGCCTATGAAGAGGGAGCTTGGAGGGAGGGTTTACTCCAACATCGTTGATGACTCTTGGGTTTACACTGGTCCTCCTCCTTCTCCTCCTCCTTCTTTTCTTCTTCCTCCTCCTCCTCCTCTTCCTCCTTCTCCGCCTTCTCCTCCTCCTCCTCCTCATCCTTCTCCTCCTCCTCCTCCGCCCCCCTCTCCGTCCTCCTTCTCTACCACGGAGCTCGCGGCGCAAGTGGCTGCCCTCACCGAGGCCCACTCCATCAGCACCAAGCCGTCTCCTGTGGACAGCATGCCGCCGCCCTGGACTACAGGCAGCACCGGCTCGGCAGCCAGGGGGCTGACGGTCCCATCTGTCGTGGCCTTCATGCGCGTCTCCTCGACGGGGACGGCCTCGAGGCGGCAGAGTCCGTCCAGGAGGCCGACGTCAAGGCGCACCCCCCGACTGTGGTGCAAGGGCCAGGCGCAGGGTGGACAACCTGCGCAGGCAGCTGGGCAGGATCGAAGTCAAGGATCAGCTGGATAAGCAGATCAAGGAACTACGTGATCAACCAGCAGAGATGGGACAGCCTCCCGCTTCTCCAGGCGCACGTCGCAGCGGTGGAGCTAAAAAAGGGCCGAATGCTGGCGGCTTCGTTGGCCCCAGGGGTGCCGAGACGCCCGATGGCAAGGCTGCCCCTGAGACGCCGCCGCACCTCAAGGCTGAGGCCAAAGCGGACCAGGCGCAGCAGCGGTGGAGCTCCCCAGAAAGCAGGCCCAGGGTGAGCGAAACGTCGTCGAAGCTCCGGACTTTGAACCCGAGACTGCCTCCGACGGCGAACTCCTCTGGGCCTGAACCCGTCTTTATTGTCCTCTGACGCCCACCTCCCTCCGTCCTTCCCTCTCATTCTCCTCCGTACTCCTGGCCCCTCTCCCCTCCTCCTGCTCCTGCTCCCTCCTCTTCTGCCTCGTCAGGCCCTCCTCCTGTCCCTCCCCCCTCAGGCCCTCGATACTACTTCCTGATGACGTCCACCCTGTCGCACCGACAGAGGTGTCCGAAGGCCGGGCTGGGCGTTCCGCTTGGGACCTCCTCAAACTCAAGGATCAAAGGGGTCATGTTCTCGTTCCTGTGATCGATGCTGCTGCTGCAGCAGTGCCAGGCGAGTTCTACATAACAAAGTCCAACCTCTTCAAGGATGGACGGCGGGTGGTTCACAGTGTGGCTGCCGCCTCCGGGAACGCAGCGCACATTCGCCCTGGCAGGTCGCGGCAGCTTCAAATGTGGAGGGCGGATGGTTTCCAAAATGTGACGCTCGCCTTCGCGCCGCGCGCTTTCGCCTCGATAGCTTGCAAGGGCGGAGGCCGATTCGCTTGCAACAGGCAGCTCGGGCCTGAGCGCCGCGAAGATTCGTGTTAACAGTTTGCATCAATTCTAGGGATGAGAATGGCTCCTTTTCGAAAAGGGGCAATTGCCATAACCATCCGCACATTGTCTGAAAGGTTTGCAGCAGTGTCAAGGATGAGGGAGGTTCCTGATCAGCATGGGCACCTCGCTTGCGACTGTCTCCAAACTCGAAACAAACAGCTCGAGCATACGTAGCAGCTGCACGGATGGAGGACACCGTTCTTTCCAAAATGGGGCTTTCGCGTAATACTTCTTCGGACTTTCTGATCAGACGTGCACTCTTGTAAAACTGTTGCACGGATGAGGGCGGCACACTTTCCAAAAAAGGCTCTCGCTGGACAACTCGTTGAACTCTATGATCCATGCTTGTCGCAGTACTTGTAAGTCGTTCGCTCGAAGTATGAAGGCATTTCCTGATCACAGTGGAGATCTCGACAGGCAAGCTCCTCAGGTGCTTGCCTGTCGAGAGGGCGCTTCCTGTAGTGAGCAAGAAAGCTTGTAGGGACTTGTGAGGAAGGGAGTTGGGACGGCAGGGTCTGTTGCAGCATCGTTGGAGCATCCTGGGTTTACCCTAGACCTCCTCCAACTCCTCAACCTCCTCCCTCATATTTCTGGAAAGAGCGTGGGCCCGAGGTTCTTTTATAGCTGTTTACCCCCGGAATCGACTTGCGTAGGGCCGGCTGAATTTTCCTGCCATGCAGAAGGAGGTCGCGTAGGGCCGGCGGATTTGAATTTGTGGGATGTCCTGGCGAAATTCTTGTCTTTGAGATTTCGATGTTTAAAACACAGGGTAACGTAAGCATTTTCGTGTGCTGCGAATGTCTCGAGCGAAATGAGGATGTCTCGAGCGAAACGTTCGTTTTGTGCTATAGGTCGTTCCTCTCCTGGGGACCAGGATCCAGAGAGTCTCTCAGGTGAGATGCTTGTTTTCACGTGCCCAGGTCTTGAGGATGTCTCGAGCGAGACGCTTGGTTTCACGCCTCCAGGCTGCCCAAGCAGGTGTCTAGCATGAGGGGGTGTTGAGGATGTCTCGAGGGAGACGCTTGTTTTCACGCGTCCAGGTCGTCCAGGCAGGTGTCTAGCACGAGGATTTGTTGAGGATGCCTCGAGGGAGACGCTTGTTCCCGGAAAGGGCCTGAGCCCAGGGTTCTCTTTTAGTTGGTTTCCCCCCGGTTTTGACGGCTGTAGGGCCGGCGAATTTCTTTTGCGATAAATAACGAGGTCGCGTAGGGCCGGCGAATTAAAAATTGAGGATGTCTCGAGCGAAACGCTTGTTTTTCAGAATTTGTTGAGGATGTCTCGAGCGAAACGCTTGTTTTGTGTTATAGATTGTCCTCTCCTGGGGACCTGAATTCTGAGGATCTCTCAAGTGGATTGCTTGTTTTCACGTGCCCAGGTCTTGAGGATGTCTCGAGCGAGACGCTTGGTTTCACGCCTCCAGGTGGCCCAGACAGATGTCTCGCACGAGGATTTGTTAAAGATGCCTCGAACCAGAGACTTGTTTTCACGTGTCCAGGTCGCCTAGGCGGATGTCTAGCATGAGCATGTGTTGAGGATGTCTCGAACGAGACGCTTGTTTGCACGTGTCCAGGTCGCCCAGGCGGATGTCTAGCATGAACATGTGCTGACAACGTCTTGAGCGAAACGCGTGTTTTCACGTGTCCAGGTCGCCCAGGCACAGCACAGCCCTCGGCACGGTACATCAATATCGATACCCTTAGCATTGCAGCCTGGCATGTTGCCTGGCACGTTCCGCGGAGCGTCCCGTGGCGAGTCCCCCTGGCACGTCGCGCGGTGCACGTCCATTGGCACGTTCCGTAGCGCGTCCCCTTGGCACGTCCCGCGGTGCGTGCCCATGGCACGTCCCCTGGCACGTCGCCTGGCGCGTCCCTTGGGACGTTCCGCGGCGCGTCCTCTTGGCATGTTCCCTCTGTCGATTAGTTCTGGGGCAGCTACCATCTGCTCAGGCAGCTCGAGCTTACGATCCAGATCAGTTCGGTGAGGACTCGGATGCCAGGGAGGACTCGATCCACAACGCTACATAGAGCACAATCGCGGCATGGCACATCGCAGTTCAGCACGGCCCAGCACAGCACAGCCGTCGGCACGGTACATCAAGATCGATACACTCAATTATGCACCTGGGCACGTTCCTTGGCGCGTTCCGTGGCGAGTCCACCTGGCACGTCGCGCGGCGCGTCCCCTGTCACGTCCCTCGGCACGTCCATTGGCACGTTCCGTAGCGCGTCCCCTTGGCACGTCCCGCGGTGCGTGCCCATGGCACGTCCCCTGGCACGTCGCCTGGCGCGTCCTTGGGACGTTCCGCGGCGCGTCCTCCTGGCATGTTCCCTCTGTCGATTAGTTCTGGGGCAGCTACCATCTGCTCAGGCAGCTCGAGCTTAAGATCCAGATCAGTTCGGTGAGTTCTCGGATTCCAGGGAGGACTCGATCCACAACGCTATATAGAGCACAATCGCGGCATGACACATCGCAGTTCAGCACGGCGTAGCACAGCACAGCCCTCGGCACAGTACATCATCATCGATACATTCAGCATTGCATGTGCCCGTCGCCCAATCAGGTGTCTTTGAAATGTTGCAATGCCTTACATTTCTATATTCCTTTCCGGGTTCGTGGGTCGATCATGTTTTTGCGTGTCCAGGTCGCCCTGGCGGATGTCTAGCATGACGATGTGTTGAGGATGTGTGCAGCGAAACGCTTGATTTCGCGTGTCCAGGCCGCCCAGGCAGAGGTCTAGCATGAGGAGGTGTTGAGAACGTCTCGAGCTAGACGCTTGGTTTCACGTGCCGAGGTCGCCCAGGCGGATGTCTAACATGAGGGTCGTCTGGCATGTCCCCTTGTCAATTAGCTCTGGGGCAGCAGCTATGTGCTCAGGCAGCTCGAGCTTAAGATTCAGATCAGTTCGGTCAGGACTCGGATGCAAAGGAGGATTCGATCCACAACGCTATAGAGCACAATCAGCACGGCGCAACACAGCACAGCCCTTGCCACTGTACATCAAAATCGATACACTCAACATTGCAACCTGGCGCGTTCCCTGGCACGTTCCGTGGCGCGTCCCTTGCCGAGTCCCCCTGGCACGTCGCGCGGCTGGCACGTTCCGCAGCGCGTCCCCTTTGCACGTCCCGCGGTGCGTCCCCATGGTACGCCCCTTGGCACGTCCCCTGGCGCAACCCTTGGGACATTCCGCGGCGCGTCCCTCTGGCATGTCCCCTTTCTTCTTAGCTCTGGAGTAGCTTCTATGTGCTCAGACAGCTCGAGCTTCAGATCCAGATCAGTTCGGTCAGGACTCGGATGCAAAGGAGGACTCGATCCACAACGCTATAGAGCACAATCGCGGCGTGGCACATCGCAATTCAGCACGGCGCAGCACAGCACAACTCCTGGCACGGTACACCAAGTTCGATACATTCAACATTGCAACCTGGCACGTTCCCTGGCACGTTCCGTGGCGCGTCCCCTGGCACATCCCGTGGCACGTCCCGTAGCGCGTCCCCTTGGCACGTCCCGCGGTGCGTCTCCATGGCACGTCCCTTGGCACGTCCTCTGGCGCAACCCTTGGGACGTTCCGCGGCGCGTACCCCTGCCATGTCCCCCTGTTAAGTAGTTCTGGGGCAGCTACCATCTGCTCAGGCAGCTCGAGCTTACGATCCAGATCAGTTCGGTCAGGACTCGGATGCAAAGGAGGACTCGATCCACAACGCTATAGAGCGCAATCGCGGCAAGGCACATCGCAATTCAGCACGGCGCAGCACAGCACAGCCCTTGGCACGGTACATCAAGCTCGATACACTCAGCATTGCAATTGCCCGTCGCCCAATCAAAAGTCTTGAAAACGTTGCCATGCCTCACATGTCTAAATCCTTTCCAGGGTTCGTGGGTCGATCATGTTCCCACTCCTCCCCCCTCCCTCCTCCTCCCTGATTCCAACCATCCCTCCTCCGAGGGGGAACGTGAAGAAGGGACCGGCTCAGAGGGGGAACATCGACCTGGAATCGGCAATAGATTGGCGACAGGCCACTCTCAATAGCGAATCCGCATGCTTCTGGGCGGGATGGGCAATCGGGCCGCTATCGGCAGTCAATGTGCGATTGGGGGTCGATGCGTTCCCCCCTGAGCCTATCCCGAAACGTTGCCCCCTCCTCCTCCTCCTCCTCCTCCTCCTCCTCCTCCTCCTCTCGTCCTCCCTCCCTCACTCACCCTCCCTCCCTCCCTCCTGCTCCTCCTCCCCTGCCTCCCTCCCTCACCTCCTCTCACCTCCCCTTCCTTCATCCCTCCCTTCTTCCCTCTCTGCCCTGCCACGCGGTGGACCAGGCCCACCGCCGTCCTCCATCCCCTCGTCGATCAGCTCGTCTATGAGGCCTGGCAACGAGGGGGGGGCTGCTCCGACGCCAGTCAGGCGGGCTGGGAGCCGTCGTAAAGTCTCCTCCGCTCCTGATTCCTCCTCCCCCGTCCTCCTTGCTGCTCCTCGCTGCTCCTCGCTCCTCGCTCCTCCTCCTCCTCCTCCTCTTCCTCCACCTCCTTCTCCTCCTCCACCCTTCTTCCTGCTCCTCCCCCTCATCTTCCTCGTCCGTTCGTCAGTCCGTCCGCCCGTCCGTCCCTCCCGCCCCTCCGACGAGGCGGGCATTGATCCTGAGCCTCCTCCTCCTAGCGAGAGCGGGGAGAGAACGAGGAGAGAGGGGGGGCGGGGAGAGGAGGTGGAAGCAAGCTAGGTACGCTCGCGCCATGCCTGACATCCGACCTCCTACCCCTCCCACCCATCCCTTCTCAGTGCGCTATGTTTCCTCTATCCGCAGAAACGTGTCATAATGGACCTGGAACTCAAAATGTTAACCAGCGGGAGCCCCACACGGTGTCACTAGCAACATATGTTGTGCAAGATATGTGGAGCACTCTATGTGGTACATTCGATGTGCTGATGCCAGTGTTTTGAAATATGTTGCGCAGTATATGTTGTTCAATGCATGTGGTGTGATCTATGCGGTGCGATATATGTGCGTCAATATATGTGATGCACGCTGTGTGGTACATTATATGTTGTGCAATATTTGTGATGATGTCTATGTCGTTCAGCATGTGGTGTAATCTGTGTGGTGCAATCTAGGTGATGCAATCTACGTGATGCAATCTATGTTGTGCAATATGTGTGGTGCAACCCATGCCGAGACGACGGGTGGTGACGAGGCGGCGGGGCGGCGACGGCGACAACACAGCCGCCAGCCCTCCACACAAGCCAAGATGACGGGCGGCGACGGGGCGGTGACGGCGACAACGTAGCGGCCAGATCGCTACACATGCGACGAGCGGCGTCGAGGCGGCGACGGGGCGGCGAGGGCGACATCGCCGCCAGACCGTCACGCAGGTGCAGTTCTTCAAACATGAAACAGCATACCCTACATGCAAATCCTGTGTCGGGAACATGATCGACCCACGAACCCTGGGAAGGATACAGACATGTGAAGCATGGCAGCGTTTTCAAAACACCTGATTGGGCGACGGGCAATTGCAATGCTGAATGTATCGATCTTGATGTACCTTGCCAAGGGCTGTGCTGTGCTGTGCCGTGCTGAATTGCGATGTGCCATGTCGCGATTGCGCTCTATAGCGTTGTGGATCGAGTCTTCCTTGGCATTCGAGTCCTAACCGAACGGATCTGGATATTAAGCTTGAGGTGCCTGGGCACATCGTAGCCATGTTAGACGTCCGCCTGGGCGACCTGGACATGTAAAACCAAGACTCTCGCTCGAGACGTCCTCAACACCTCTTCATTCTAGGCAACTGCCTCAGCGACCTGGACACGTGAAAACAAGCGCTTCGCTCGAGCCATCCTGCCCAAATCCTCGTGTTACACATCCGCCTGGGCGACCTGGACACGTGAAAACAAGCGTTTCGCTCAACACATCCTCAACTCATCCTCATGCTAGACATCCGCCTGGGCAACCTGGACACGTGAAAACAAGCGTCTAGCTCGAGACCTTCTCAACACATTCTCATGCTAGACCTCTGCCTGAGCGGCCTGGACACGTGAAATCAAGCGTTTCGCTCGAGACCTTCTCAACACATTCTCAGGTTAGACACCCGCCTGGGCGACCTGGGCACGCGAAAACAAGCGTCTCGCTTGAGACATCCTCAACACATCTGAATGCTAGACATCTGCCTTGGCGACCTGGAAGCGTGAACACAAGCGTCTTGCTCGAGACACCTTCAACACATCCTCATGCTAGGCATCTGCCTGGGCAACCTGGAGGCGTGAAACCAAGCGTCACGCTCGAGTCATCCTCAAGACCTGGGCACGTGAAAACAAGCATCTCACCTGAGACATCCCTTGAAATCTGCCTACCAGGAGAGAAGGACCTATATGACAAAACAAGCGTTTCGCTCGAGACATCCTCAGCACAGTATGCTAAACAAGCGTTTCGCTCGAGACATCATCAACCAACGAACATGCTTACTTTACCATGTGTGTTATCGATCGGAATTTCAACATGATCGACCCACGAATACAGGAAGGAATATAGACATGTAACGCATGGCAATGTTTTCATAGGCACCTGATTGGGCGACGGGCAATTGCACTGCCAAGTGTATCGATCTTGATGTACACTGCCAAAAGCTGTGCTGTGCTGCACCGTGCTGAATTGCGATGTGCCATGCCGCGATTGTGCTCTATAACGTCGTGGATTGAGTCCTCCTTTGTATCCGAGTCCTGACCGAACTGATCTGGATCTTAAGCTCGAGCTGCCTGAACACACAGTAGCTGTCCCACAACTACTTGACAAGGGAACATGCCAGGAGGACGCGCCGCGAAACGTCCCAAAGGACGCACCAAACGACGTGCCAAAGGGACGCGCTACGGAACGTGCCAATGGATGTGCCACGGGATGTGCCAGGGGACGCGCCACGCGACGCGCCAGGGGGACTCGCCAAAGGACGCCCCACGGAACGTGCCACGGAACGTGCCAGGCTGCCAGATTACAATGCTGAGTGTATCGATCTTGATGCACCCTGTCAAAAGCTGTGCTGTGCTGCACCGTGCTGAATTGCGATGTGGCATGCCGCGATCGTGCTCTATAGCGCTGTGGATCGAGTCCTCCTCTGCATCCGAGTCCTGACCGAACTGATCTGGATCTTAAGCTCGAGCTGCCTGAACACATAGTAGCTGCCCCAGAGCTAGTTGACAGGGGGACATGCCAGGAGGACGCGCCGCGAAACGTCCCAAGGGACGCGCAAGGCGACGTGCCAAGGGACGTGCCATGGAGACGCACCGCGGGACGTGTCAAGGGGACGCGCTACGGAACGTGCCAATGGATGTGCCACGGGATGTGCCAAGGGACGTGCCGCGCGACGTGCCAAGGGGACTCGCCAAGGGACGCCCCACGGAACGTGCCACGGAACGTGACAGGTTGCAATGCTGAGTGTATCGATCTTGATGCACCCTGCCGAAGTCTGTGCTGTGCTGCGCCGTGCTGAATTGCGATGTGGCATGCCGCGATTGTGCTCTATAGCGGTGTGGATCGAGTCCTCCTTTGCATCCGAGTCCTGACCGAATGTGCTGGGGACGAGCGTTTCGCTCGAGACATCCTGTCAACATCCTCATGCTAGACATCCGCCTGAGCGACCTGGACACGTGAACACAAGCGTTTCGCTCAACACATCCTCAACACATTCTCATGCTAGACATCCGCCTGGGCGAACTGGGCACATGAAAACAAGTGGTTCGCTCGAGACATCCTCAACACATCTTCATGTGAGACGTCCGCCTGGGTGACCTGTGCACGTGACGCCAAGCGTTTCGCTCGAGACGTTTTCAACACCTCCTCATTCTAGACATCCGCCTGGGCGACCTGTACACGTGAAAGCAAACGTCTCGCTCGAGACATCCTCAACACATTTTTATGTTAGACATCCGCCTGGGCGACCTGGACACGTGAAAACAAGCGTATCTCTCGAGACATTCTCACCACATCCTCATGCTAGGCATCCGCCTGGGTAACCTGGACACGTGCAAACAAGCACCTCGATCGAGACTTCCTCAACACATCTTCATGCTAGACATCCGCCTGGGCGACGAGGACGCGTGAAACCAAGCGTGTCGCTCGAGACATCCTCAACAAATCCTAGCGCTCGACCTCTGTCTGGGCAACCTGGAGGCGTGAAACCAAACGTCTCGCTCGAGACATCCTCAAGACCTGGGCGCGTGAAAATAAGCATTTCACTTGAGAGATCCTCTGAATTCTTGTCCCCAGGAGAGGACAATCTATCATGCAAAACAAGCGTTTCGCTCGAGACATCCTCAACACATTCTGAAACACAAGCGTTTCGCTCGAGGCATCCTCAAGCATCCGCCAATCCGGCGTGTAAGTGTAAGAAGTCTAACCTGAAGCTCTGCGTCAGCATGAGTTTTCGCTCTGCTTGGGGGGGGGGGAGGAGGGGGGGGGACGTGATTACCTGACGAATTCTGTGCTCGGCACCTCCCAGGAGAGAGGGGGAGGGGGGGCAGGCAAGCTAGGTGCGCTCGCGTCATATCTGACATCCTACCCCTCCCTCCCATCCCTTACCATGGCGTATATCCCCTCTCTACTCGCACAGTCGGATGTTGAGCAGGGCAATGATCCCGAAAGGGTACGCGATGCATTGTAGAGCACGGCATGGCATGGCGTAGAAGAGCACTGCAAAGCGTAGTATGTCACAGCATGGCGTGGCGTGGCGTAGTGAAGAATTGCATCACAAAGCTTTGCAACGCAAAGCATGGCATCGCACAGCGGCCCCGAACATAACATTGCATAGCATGGCGTTGAAGATCAAAGCGTAGCATGGCATAGCATGACGTGGCACTTACGCTCTGGACATGACAGCTGCAGCTGAAGGCATGGCATCGCGCAACGGAACGCAACCGAGCATTGCATTGCATGCCGTGGCATGGCACGGGAAATGGCGCCAGCGCTGCAGCGGGAGCACGATTCGGAACGAACGGAAGCGCGGACATGAGGCCAGCGCTGCAACGGTAGCTCGATTCGGAACGAGCGGAAACACGGAAATGAAGCCCGCGCCTCAGCGGGAACATCATTTTGAAAAAACCAAACGAAAACCCAACTCTGGGAAATTCTGTGTGTAAGCACAATACGCGGAGGGGTGCCCGCTACCTTCCGCACGCCATCAGGTGGTGGAGGATAGTCTATTCATATTGTGTACAAATTGTAGACAGGGGAGGGGGAGAGGGGGGGGTGGACAGGAGAGAGGGGGGGGAAAAGAGAGAGGGGGGGTGGAAGGAGAGAGGGGGGGGGACAGGAGAGAGGGCGGGGGGACAGGAGAGATGGGGGGGACAGCAGAGAGAGGGGGGGAGGGGGGGGGAGAGGCGAGAG